GGTTTGGAAGGATTCTAATATTGTCCCCGTATTTAAATGTAATGATAAATCAATTGTATCTAACTATAGGCCAATAGCTATTTTGTCTGTTCTTGCAAAGGCTCTGATTTGTCCTATTTTGTCTTGGCATCTGAAACAGTATTTGTCGAACAACCAACATGGATTTATGAAGGGGAGATCTACGGCTTCTAACTTAGTATCATATGTTGAATCACTTGTTGGGGCCGTTGATTCTCGCGTACAGGTGGATGCGGTATATACAGACTTCAGCAAAGCTTTTGATACAGTAAATCATAGTATATTGTTGGAAAAACTACAATTATATGGAGTTACAGGACCTCTGCTAGGGTGGTTTGCATCATATCTGACTGATAGAGAGATGAAAGTTGTATTGAACGGTATTTGCTCAAGTCCTTATACTGCATCGTCTGGAATCCCGCAAGGATCCCATTTGGGGCCCTATCTCTTCACATTATTTATGAATGATATTGAACAGTGCTTCCAAAACTCTGAAGCACACTTATTTGCTGATGACCTTAAAGCTATTAAAATGATCAGGAATCAGGAGGACATCTTGTTGTTTCAAAGTGATCTGGATAGGCTTGCAGATTGGTGTGACCGAAACAAAATGTCTTTAAATATAAAAAAATGCAAGCATATCAGATTCACCAGAAACAGAGGGATCGTCAATTCTAGATATAGTATATATAATGAACTGCTTGAAGAAGTTCATGTAATTAAAGACCTAGGCATTCAGATGGATCCAAAACTTAAATTTGATTTACATATAAATGACTGTGTACTAAAAGCATCAAAGATGCTTGGGTTTGTGCTAAGGGAGAGTGGGAATTTTAAAAAACCAGCCACAAAAATAATATTGTACAACTCATTAGTAAGGAGTCACTTGGAGTATTGCAGTGTAGTTTGGTCACCCAGTTACAGAATACATATAGACCGCATTGAAAAAGTACAAAAAAGGTTTCTGTGGCACTTGACTCGTAGCTGTAATATGACCAGGACGCTCAAGTCATATGAAGAAAGACTGTCTCATTTTAAGATCCCATCATTGGAAACGAGAAGGAAAATTATTGATTTATTGTTCTTAAAGAAATTGGTGACTGGATTTTTGGACTGTCCCGATCTTCTTAGTAAGATAAATTTTAATGTACCGCATCGGTTGCCTAGATCCTGTAATAGCAAATTATTTGTTGCACCTCAAGGTCGAACTAATTTAAGATCACATTGTTCCTTAACAAGAATGTTTGCATTATATAAAGAATACCAAAGCAGAATAGATCTATTCTCAACCTCGATGGCTGTCATCAAAAAAGTAGTTATCGGCGATTAAGGCTAAGTTGTAATGGAAGTTTCTTCATTATTAATTTAAATTAAAATTTTATTGGAGTTAAATTGTACCTATGTACTGTTGTACAATCAACGTAAAGTCTCTTTTTTATGCATGTGGTGCCCTCCTATAAGTAATGGGACATTTAGTTTTAATAATTGTGATGCCATTCCATATGTATGTAACAGTGTACTCATTGTTGTGAGAGCCTAATAAAATAAATAAAAAATAAATAAATAAATAAAATAAAATTTTAAATTTCTTTAATATAAATAATTTACTTCATAAAAACCAATTTGGTTTCACATGGGGTCACTCGACAACTGATGCCGGTGTTTAGCTGATTAAATATATATTTAATGCATGGGAGAATTCACAGGATGCTTTGGGTATATTTTGTGAACTATCCAAAGCCTTCGAATGTGTTCACCATGAAACATTAATCACGAAACTTCAACACTACGGTGTAAGAAGTGATGCTCTTAAATTAATTATTTCATATTTAAGTAAGAGAACGCAAAAAGTTGTCATTAACAGTATGAGTTCATCCGGGTCGATGGTACAAATGAGCGTGCCTTAAGGCTCAATTCTCGGCCCCTTTCTGTTTCTTGTATACATTAATGACTTATCTTACATAGTAGGAGATAACCATGATATAGTATTATTTGCAGATGACACTTCTTTAATTTTCAAATTAAGTCGACAATTGCTAAAATATGACGAAGTAAATAATGCTATATCTAAATTAGTAAATTGGTTCAATGTTAATAATTTGCATTTAAATGGCACTAAAACGAAATGTATGAAATTTATGACTCCAAATGTCAAACAATTAAATACTAATGTAATTTTAAATGGGGAGAAACTGAGTCTTGTAGATACCACCATTTTTTTTGGAATCACACTAGACGCGAAGCTTCAATGGAGCCCCCATATATCAAAACTAGCAAGCAGACTTAGTTCTGCAGCATATGCCGTAAAAAAGATTAGAAGTCTAACTAGTGTTGAAACAGCTAGACTAGTTTACTTTAGCTATTTCCATAGCATAATGTCGTATGGTATTTTGCTATGGGGACACGCAGCTGACACTGAAATTATATTTGTTTTACAAAAGAGGGCCATAAGAGCAATTTATGATTTAAAGCCTAAAGAGTCGCTGTGACAAAAATTTAAGGAAATTAATATAATAACTTTGGCCTCTCAATACATTTATGAAAATGTAATGTATGTACACAAAAATAAAAGTAGTTTTACAAAAATAAGTGATGTTCATTCTGTAAAAATTAGGAACAGACACAAGCTAGTAGTACCAGTTACTCGACTCCATCGAGTCAGTAATTCATTCTTGGGGCGATGTATACGCTTTTACAACAAAATTCCAGAAAATATACAAAATTTGCCCTGCTCAAAGTTCAAAAACTTTATTAAACTAAGATTGTATAAAAAGGGTTATTATAATATTAAAGAATTTATAGATGATAATAACCCCTGGAAATGAGGTGATCGCTACCAAGCTATTTCTAATTTATTGTATTGTTAATTTGTATAACATACATGATTGTAAGCTGTTATTTAAAAAAAAAGTTTCGCTGGCTTTCCTGCTGGTTCTTCCCAGGACAGAGGTTTTTTTTCAAACCAGTGGTAATTATACAAAAGAGTGACTTTCAATAAGTATTATTTATAATCTATATTGAATAAAAAAGTTTCTGTGTTCTGTTTCTATCATTGCAGGAGAAAGGGATTCTATTACTAAAAATCAATGAAGTAGAAGATGTATATTAATTAAGTACATTATTTTAGTATACATGTGACACTATGGTACCTAATACATGATGATGATTAAATGCAGAGAATTGTTCCTGGTACGACTTTCCATTGACTCCCGTCAAGTTGGGGGTTGATACGTACTTTTACAGAAAAGTTACACTATTATAAGCACACACACAAAGTTACAATATGCGGAAGCGCATAATTTTTGAGAAAAAAGTTATTGAAAATCAATTATTCTTGCATTGTTTATGTTTAATCCTACAATAAAACTGACGCCATTTTTTATTGTCATTGTCAGTAGGGATGTTGATTCTTTCCGAAACAGATCGATTTTTTAAATAGATTCGAATTGTAAGCTGATGTATCGATTCCCAAAAAATCGATTTCTAAAATATCTATATTTTTTTCATGTTAGCATTTATAATGTAAATATAAATCCATTTTATGAGAAAAAAATCCCCTTCATCATAAAATATAGGGGGACTGATTTAGAAGGATTTCTGTATCTATTTTGAGACTGCTACGTCTCCGGCGCTTTAAAACCACTCTAAGGGTAGGACAGACTCGTACCAGGTGGAGTCGGGGTCAATCAATTCGGTTCTTTGACATAAGTTGAACCTAACCTATTTTATTTGTTATCTGCCCTAATTGGTACTGTTAAAATAAAACAAATTTCTATAAGAGATCATTTATTATGGTATCTTTCTTGTTTTTCATAAAATGGAATTATATTTACATTACAATGCAAACATAAAAAAATATAGATATTTTAGAAATCGATTTTTTGTGAATCGATACATCAGCTTACGATTTGAATCGATTTAAAAATCGACCTTTTTCGGAAAGAATCGACATCCCTGCCTGACTGACGACAATGACATTACAAAATGGTGTCAGTTTTATGGTAGGATTAGATATAAACAATGCAAGAATAATTGATTTTCAATAATTTTTTCTCAAAAATTACGCGTTTCCACATGTTGTAACTTTGTGTGTGTGCTTATAATAGTGTAACTTTTCTGTAAAAATATGTATCAACCCCCAACTCGACAGGAGTCAATAGAAAGCTAAGCCTTGTTCCTGGTAGGCAAGGCCTTAAAATAAAAAATACTTAAGCAATGGATCACCATTTTCTTCCTATGGGCTCATATCTCTTTGCCTGCCAAATACGGCGATTCGGGCGATTCCTCTTCCTTCACTTGAAGGCATTTACTTAACTGCGGAGGAATAAAACTAATAGAGGGAGGAATAAAAATTTACAGAGTTTATCACATTTGATTAATTTTTATTTTATTTCTAACATTTTAGGCATTTCACATCACCCATGGTCACGAGGGACACTGAGGTGTTTGATGTCCTAATGTCATAGTTAACGAAGGCTACCTTAACTTTAAATTATTAATTTTTGGTCCAATCTATGTAAAACAATCTTACAGTATCTTGAAGTAATACAGTAGCATGCTGGATTCAGATGCAGACAGCCACCTTCTTTATTGAAATTTGGATGCTTTTTTTAATTCCTTGCCTTGCATTGCCTTGCGAGGCAGCGATCACCCTTGGTAGGAATCGATGTTCTTTTGTGATGATTTATGGTCTATTAAATCTAAAAAAAATGGTTGGCACGATCCTGAATGATCGGTACATCGAACACCTCAGTCCCCCCGTGACCCTGGGTGCTATAAAGCGCCGACAAAACGTTGGAAATTAAAAAAGTTAAAATTAAGCGTTAAGTTTTTTCCGTGTAGTATTCGCGTAAATATAAGACCATTCCCAGCAGTGGGTTATTTACGGAGTGATTATGAATTGCTGCCATGTGCATCATTGTATATCTCGGCAAGAAGAAATGTTTTATTTTTACAATATAATATTTATATTTATACAATACCTCTCCAATTAACAGCCCCATGATTTCTTCTTTTTCGGTTGAAAGTGCATGTTGAACACATGCTAGCGTAACATCTGTCGCTAATAAAACTTTACGTAACATTTTATGCTATTATCTCATTTAATTGCTATTGAAAGTTTGTGATTATATTTAATTCAGCTGTTTGTACATACCACAGAATACTTTACTCCTAGGTACATACCATACCATATACCATACCATTCCCTATATATAATGTACTCTGTGGTACATACAAACACTTTGTTTTACTGTTTTTCTTGTTAACTTCTTCTTAATAACAATCTTTACAGCTCTGGGATCTAGCCCTTCTGAGCCTGAAGTTACAATATATTATAATAATTATCCTTCATAGTATACTGCTTCACAATATGTTGATGCGTCACAATGTGCAGCTCTTGGGAGATTTTGACGGCAACTTGAGCCGGCAGACAGCTGACGGTTGGCGATGGTATCTCAAGGCACCTAAGCAGACATACACCTTATTTTGAGAATCACAGTAGGTGTGAATTGGGGGTTCTGCGTCACTTGCTCTCGCATTCGCTCGAGCTATATGCCGCTGAAGACCCTAATTCTCTCCAGAGAGGTACAACATTTTTAGTTTAACCAAATTAACGTCTACATAATTACAGTTCTATCCTGCGGGAACAAGTGTACATCCACTTCCAGTTGAGTTATTGAGCATTATATTCAGAGCGTTTGCGAGATACTGATGGTATTGCTGCATCTATATGATTAATTTATAATAATACAACTTGTTTAGCCTAATTTCATTGTGGTTAGTGCTAATAAACGTTTTTAAGCTATTACATAGCTTTTATCGAGGGCTTTGAGCGCGGCGACCGAATCAAGAAATTCCGTAACGAAAAAAAAACCTAAGACCCAAACCTAACATCGTAAATCCATTACAATAAAGATATTAATTAATTTGCATCCATCCGCTAACTAAATAAAATGATGTTTCTTACCTGGATTGAAGAGCGTCTCCCATCCTCCCTCAATTGTTTCATTATTGTTTTATTCTCATAGCGAGTGCACATTGATTACAACGCTCGTCAAATATCATTTATATTGGTGAATTTAATCATTTTTTTTTACTATTTAGAAATTCAGCCACCATTACCTTTTTTTGACTTCATACTTGTTTTTGCTAATTGCAGATCATGGTCAACACTGAGGAACACAATTGTTCTAATCCTATCACTAATCCGTATTACTATGCACAGGATGTGGATAAATTTACACTAAATTATTACAACCGAAAGGAGCAGCTTCACGATTTACCACCAAATAGAATAGCTATTAATGAAGAGCGGCAATCGAAATTAAAGAAATGTTACAGGAAAAGAAACCGTTCTCAAGAATCATCATCATCATCATACATTGTCCGCCTAGATAAAGATAAACGAGGTCATCGTCTGATTAAAATCAGCATTTGCGAACCTAACGAGCAAAAAAAAATTTCATCCACGATCTTAGTGCTAATATAAGTGTTCAATATGTTGTGGATTCAATGTATGATGAAGTGTTAGATGCTACAAATTGTCTTATAAAAAAAATAGGTGAAAAATTATGTGAGAACTAGTAATTTAAGTAATGTAGCTTGTAAAATATAATAAAAGTTACACATTGAATTTTATTGTTGTTTTATTATGTATCATTATTATTCAATTGTGTAGAGGAAAAATGAAAAGACATTTATTATTACAACGAATGTATTTATTAAAACCACAGACTAATATGATACTAAAACTAATAATTTCGATTTTCGATTTTATCTGAATTCGAATTTAAATGTTTTAGTTTTTATTTCGATTTTAACTGAAAGCAACAACACAGATATATTTTATTGGAAATCAATCATTTTGTTTTCAAAACACCATTTCTTAACGCACATATTTTCTTACGAGTAAAACAGTTATACAGTAAAGTATCTTTACAATAAAGTTCACAAAGAGTATTTAAATTGGGAGCTCCTAAGCAACTTATATCTATGATAGTATTATTTTCATCACAAATATCTTGCACTCATTTAATTTTTTCACATCCTTTTAAAAAAATCTTTTTATCTTTCAAATATGTTTTTATAATTCTATAAAATTCTTTATAATCAATAAAGCCCTCACTCCATCGATACCCTCGGTGCTTTTCAATCCAGCCAATTTGTTTTTTCTCTTCAGGAGATAGTGAAATGAATGGGTAAGGAGGTTTAATTATGAATATATTGGTGTACTCTAGAGTGGCTATAGCAAACTCCTTCACTATAAATTTATTTTTGCTATTTTTGAAGCCTTGAAGATCGACGATTATTATATTGCTATTCATGATATTTTCTTAAAGATATTACTCAGTGGTTTGTATTCGAATATACAGTCGTTTAATATCAAGCAATAAGCGGGTGATACAGTTCAGATTTAGAATTTCTTTATTTTATTATTTTATTTACGGTTTATTATTTCGATTTTCGATTTTATCTAAATTTGAAATTAAATGTTTTAGTTTTTATTTCAATTTTAACTGAAAGCAACAACACATAGATAAGTAACACTGATTAAACTATTAAACTAACCCTTAGTTGGTTACTAAACTGGACGAACGTTGTGATAATCTTCTTTGATGCATGATACCAACTGGGTAACAGCCTTCCACGTTGGGGATTCCTCACAGACAGCTGATTTAAAGCTGATCAGAGAGTGCTGCCAGCGGTCGGTTGATGGAATAGCCTCCAGCTCGCGGAAGTTAGAGATGCGCACTTCGATGTAATATTCTCCTCGCTTCGAAGACTCGCTCCGGTGCATATATCTCGAACCTGTTCGGAATGATAAGTACGAGTAGCTTTTTAAAATCCTCGCTCGGATAGGTTCAGAATCTTCATCCTGGAAACAATAAAATACTATTTAAACAAAAGCATACTGATAAGCAATGAACCCTACGAGGGACCTATACTTGAGAGAATTATGGTCTTCAGTGGGCACATAGCTTGAGCGAAGCAAGAGTGAGTGAATGCTTTTACATGGTAGAGCCATGCTGCAGCTATATTAGTAGTATAGTTGTAGTACGAACGGGAAGGAAGCTCTCACAGAATACCAGCGTAAAATAGCAGCTTAATGCTACTGTGTTTCGTATGATGAGTGTAGAGAACCGGAGACCCTTTTTACTGGAAAAGAGGCATTCCATCTTTATCCTCATGGGTGACAACGCATCTGCATTTTGATTTGCAAACGAGGATAGGTGTAGATGTCTATGGGCCACAGCAACCACTTACCATCAGGTGGACTGTGTGCTCGTTGTCACCCTATCCTATAAAAAAAATGTTATTAAGTTAATCTTCAGCAACTTTTTCAAGTTTTTAAATTATTAACACGATTGAAATAACGTTAGTTCATTAAAACCTATCACCCAATACGGACAAATTAACAAAACTTATGAAATTTCTCAAACAAAAAGAATCACTTAAATTAGAATGTATCTGTCCTGCACCAAAAAATAAGGTTAAACGTCATGGGAGCTTATTGCCAAATACGATACGTAGTATTGTATGCGGTCCATCAAATTGCGGAAAAACTAACTTAGTTATCAGCTTAATGTTACCTCAGAATGGACCGCGTTTTCGTAACCTTTATGTATATTCAAAGTCTTTGTATCAACCTAAATACTTATTTTTAGAAAAAGTACTGCAGAATGTGGAAGGTATATCTTATTACAAGTATAATCATAATAGCGAAATTTTGAGTCCACACGAAGCTTCGCCTAACTCAATTATAATATTTGACGATGTAGCTTGTGAAAATCAGAACAACATACGCGATTATTTCGCCATGGGTCGACATAAGAACATTGACTGTTTTTATATTAATCGAACGTATACTAAGATACCTAAGCAACTAGTTAGAGATAACGCTAACCTGATCATATGTATTGTTTAAACAAGATGACGTAAATCTGAGACACATTTATGACGAGCATGTAGGGTCTGACATGACATGGTCTCAGTTCCGGGAAATGTCTTCAACTGTGTGGAGTAAACCTTTCAATTATATTGTTATAAATAAAGACTGTGAACGAAATAAAGACTGTTACAGAATGAAGTTTGATACATTCATAATTACCTAATTAACATACACAACATAATTACATAAATACATAACATAATTTTAGACTAACGTTTAAATAGCTGCTATGTCAACAAGCAATCAGTTTCTGCTGAGTAGTCAAACATAGTACAACTCCTTTACAATGGAGCGAGACCTCAAGAAAAAATTGTAAAATCTGCTGCAGCTGTAAAAAGAAAGGTAGATATGATAAAAGATGCAAAAAATACAAACATTCTAGCTTTGGTAACAATATTTAAGCCCATCGTTGATCCACTTAATATGCTTACCAGAAAAACAAACAACAACAAACGAACAAACAGCACAACAAAAGCAGCATTTAAATGCATATACAGACTAAGCTCACCTTATTAAAAAAACCTAAGTACAGCACAAGTGAGTCATCGATTTCTTCAAGTGAAGATCTTGTTAATAATGAAGAAAACTCAGATAACAATGTTTATACAACATCCCACAAAACCGTTACTCACTCGTTTCCTGTGGATGATAATGATGCGAATGAAATTTCGTTTAAATCACGTCAATCAAGTATACACCAAGTATAGCAAATGATTCATTATCATGGACTATGTTATCTGAATTACTAAAAGATGTGCCTTATGGTGTCAGAAATGAGCGTGGGAAACTAATGCTCGGCCCATTTCGTGTCTATGATAATGATCACATCTTAAAAATTGGAAATCATAGTTTGAAAAAAAACTCCAGGCTTAAAAGAGTTATTGTTTAAAAAGCTACCAAATTTAGATATTGTGACAGAGGAAGACTTACAAAATTATAAATTGTTACTAATGCACACAAACGTAATTATGATCCATCCAAACCGATTAACAGTAACAAAGGATTTAAATATATGCAAGTGATCAAACCATTGTTTAAGCACTCAAGAAATCATAAAAGTAGTGCAGAAAGTCTTCCAAAGGGAGAAGGAGTTGATATTTTAAAAAAAGTTAAAAAAGATATTGACTTGGTTTA